TACACTTTTATTTTCATATTGTCACTATTAATTTTCCATCTTCGTGTAATATTAAGTACCAGGTTCCATTAATAAGAAGAAAAAAAGAGAAGAAAGGAATCTTTTGATAAACGAGCAAATAACACGATCATTGGAATTCACGTAATAAAAACATTTATATTCTTTCAACAATTTGTATAATTAAAGATCGCTTTAAATTAAAACCATGTATAAAACTATATATAGAAATATCATTAATCATTACGATTGTAAACCGCGATAAACGGATTCACAAGTTTGAACGAAGTGCACGAGTGGTCATAAGGAAGGAAATCGCGGTGGAATTCGCATGAGTGTCACGCAAGATGCAAATTTCATGTATTCCCCTCGATCTTGACGCGTATCTTGATCAAACACAAGTTCAATTTTACGGTGCCTCGTAAATTTCATTGAATTATCCAGCAACATCGTATTATTCACTTAAGTGCGGCTAGGCGTGAAGACTGTTTAAATTTCTTTTCCACCATTTTATCGGGGCAACCGTGCCAATTTATCGATGCTTTCATGACTTCATTTAAAATAATCGTTGCAACTTTTTCTTATGTTCGTAATACTTGTAATTTTAATATAATTATTTATATAATTTTACTTCGTGTGTGCGATTTTGCTTGATATTTCTTTAAAATAAATTTAATTTCCTTTTTCTTTTTTTTTTTTAAATAATTATTAACTTTCTTAGCAGTTTGGAATTTTCAGAATTTTCAAGATTAAAATTTTTAGATTAAAGAATTTTAAATTGAGAATTAATCTTAAAATTTTAAGTGACCAAAGAGATAAAACAAAATATAGAATGAAACGATAGTCTTGCTTCTTCTAATGCAAATTTTGGTCGTTTATTACAATTTAATAAATAAGCGTGGTCATTTTTGCATGAATTTGTTTTGATCTCTTAAAGAATCGATTCTTTAAAGATGTTTCAATATATTCTTCATAGCATTCTATACATAAGAGAAAAAGAACGGAGATAACTGATGATGCCATCGAACGTAATGCGATTCGCCGAACTGCAAAAATCGCGAATGCAGATTTGACAAAATGGATATTGAGTAGAAGGTTGAGAGTAAGAAAGGATTGGTAGAAATACAAAAGAAAGGAAAATAATGATGTAGAAAAATCGAGAAACTTAAAAATTTCGAAAATATTTAAAGATCTACAAAAGATCGTATATAGATAAAAAAAATTAAAGGATTTAAAGAATTAAGATTTAAAACTGGAAAAATTTGAAAGCGTGAGAATTTACAAATTGATTGAAGATTCAAAGATGTGGAAATGTATAAATTTGAAAGATATAGAAAAAAGAAAAAGATTCCAGCAATATAAAAATAATCTCAATACGCACAAAACATAACATCTCATAAATCTCAAACAATAAAACTAGACGTCTAAAAGTTTAAGATCATAAATTTATCCAGAGGAGAAATACTAAAAATTTAAGGATCCAAAAAATCCAGTGATCCACAAATAAATGATCGAGGACAAAAGTAAAAAAAAAACAAGATAATAGAAGAACAAAACGCGTACAAAGAGAAAATGAGGGAAACCGGAAAAAGGAAAAAGACACTTGCGGACGAGGTTAACCTCCGGCGTATCCCGTTCTTTGTTCTTTGTCTCATCCGGTCGGTCTTCGTTTTATGATTAAAACGATTGAATCCAGGTTAACCTTCGACAATCGTGTACAGCGTAAATTGCCAACATGATACCATTCCCATCAATGCTGTGCCACACAGACGAATAAAAAAAAAAAAAAAAAAAAAAAAAAAGAAGAAGAAATGAAAGTAGAAATGGAATATAAGATAGTTGTTCGAGATAACAAAAGCAACGATGAAAATTGGGTCAAACGAAGTAAAAAAACGCGTCTGTTCATCCGGCATAAACGGTTCTTTTATTTTTCGTTTAATTGAAACAATAATGAAAAGAATTTTCGCTATTCATAGCGTATTTCTCGTCAACGTAGTTGTAGCGAAAGGCCACGTTCAACGAGCTCACTGACTCGAAACAGGTTACAATTCATTAAATTTTCCTAAGATCTATTATTATTTTCAATAGATTTCTTAATGCATCGCTTGTTTGTTATATCCTTTTTTTGAAATTATAAAACACTTTTAGAATATTTAATAATATATTTCAAAAAACTTTTACTAATACATGTTCAATTCAATCACCACGTTTTCAAATATCTAATAGAGATATCTATTAAAGTTTGTGTATTCAAATCATATTAATCTTTTCACGACTTTCCTCGAGTTAATAACCATATATACCATAAAGATTTACTAGAACTTGCATTAACTAACCATTCACATCTTTCTCTGCGATAAATTTATTTCAAAATACCGTAAATACGGAAAGATTATTTCTTCGAGTTTGCCAGAATTTGACAAATTTCAGACGCACGTGCGATGCGAGATACCATTAATCAACGATAATTCGTCTAATCTTTCTCTTGGAAGCGGGAGAACTCGAGGTATTCCTCCGTAGTGTTACACATAGTGTTAATAAACGTAAACTATAATTCAAACAACAACACGTTTCACGTGAATTTCTACGAAATTCGTAGAACATCTCGCGGGAAAGCTTACGAGCGATCATCGATTTTTACGCCTTCTCACCGCGTTTCACGCCTCGTCGATGCTAGTCGTTGAATAACGATGAAAGTGCTGTCATTACAACTCGACGCTTCCGGGTGTAAACTTTGTCCGAAAGGAATATTCTCTCGACACTTTGCAGCGTCAAAGAAAAGCGTAATTCCAACTATTGTTTTTCCACTTCCATGTGAATATTAATTACGATACGGAACACTCTTGAAAAGTTGGAAAAATTTGGAAAAATTTTATTTTACTTTACTTTTTAGGAATGGAAAATTGATTTTTCACGAATATTAATAAGCTACGATTCGATTCGACAGAAGAGTCGAAGGGAGAAGGAACACGACGCTTTCGTACTCCGATATTGGAATTATGGAAAGAGAGCGAGGAAAGGGACATCGGAATCCAATTGATGCGGCCGTGAAGGAACAAAAATGATTTCCACAACAACGTCGAGGAGGAGCAATTATTTAGACGAGTTTCGTGCCGGCTTCGTGGCTATCGATCGTCTTCGAGACAAGGTTAAAAATATCTATTTGCATGCCGAGATGCATTATACCAGATTAGGCCCTGTGGCTCCTTGCCTTCCTTTTTTCCCCCTTCTTGTTTCATTTCGTCGCGAAGGTCGCTGTTGATCGAACTCAAATTTATCGTTGGATCCCTTATCCGATTACACGATTTCCTGGGTGTAAATTTGAGCGAAGAAGAATTTATTTATTAATTCGTCGAGCGATTTTTTCGAATGAATTTTCGAAGTTCGAAAGAATCGAGATAGGATAACTTGAGAAGTATTTAATTTGAGAGAATCTCGAGTTCATCTAGTAAGTAAAACTTATGTTTTCTATTTCATTATGTGGGAAAGTATCTCGAGTTTGAATACAATTTCTCGCTATTTTTATTTCGTTAATTAAATTACGATATGATAAATTTGATTCTTGATCTGGTCTGTAACACAAAATTGGAATTTTAAAGTAAAATAAATCAATTTAGTAGGAGGTGATGGTAAATAATAGAAAGAAGTATTTTTTGTTTCATGATATAAATGATCTTGCTTCGTTTTTTTTGGTTGTAAGTACTAAAGATGAAGATTTTAGACGTCTGACAACGAACAATCCATTATTAAATTAATTAACTAAGGAATGTTTCTACGGGATTTGAATGAAAGGAGAGGCCGATTTTGAGATTTCTGTGTTGCAATTAAATTTTAACAATATCTTCGTTTCGTATTAAGTAAGAAAATATTAGAATAAAAATTTAAAAATAAAATTTTCCTCGATCTTTACACGTTAAACTGAATTGAAAGTTCGATCGAAAAAGTTTAAAGATCGATTAAAAATTATCGGAAAAATAATTATTATACCAATGATAACTCAATTGAAATCTTATATATAATCTTATATAAATTTAAAGTTTCAATTTCGATTTGGCACAATTTTTATATATGTGACAGATAAGGATTGCACGCTTTTTCAGTGATCATCATCTGCCGCATAATCCCAGTTAAACGGAAAATAAATTGTCGACGTATGAGAGGGAAATCAGATATCTCTGTAATGCGCAGCTCGTTTTACGAATTTATCGAACTTCGATTCAATCCTCCAATCCACTTTTTACAACCGGAAGAATCGGAAATTGATTTTAGTTAGATACCTCTACATCTTCTCGTTTTAAAGTTAGAATAACTTATCCATATTAAAATTTTATAATAAGGATATCGATATAATTCATATTATTTATTATCCCAATTTTCGTTTAGCTGAATATTATATTTTTGAATCGTGATATATGCTTTCTTAATCTCATATTGTTTCTATCGAAGAAGCTAAAAAATGATGAAAATACAAACAAAAAAATTATTTGTTATATTATATGTTATGATATATTATAGGAAATATACCTGGATATCAAGAATGTAAAAAATAATGATGCAGCACGATGAGTTTTGATCGAAATATCGCAAGTTTCATTGCAGAAGATAGATGCTAGTACTGTCTTTTAATTCTGAGAAGTTTGCTACAATTTAAAATAAACAAATAAAATGTAATACTTAATTAAAAAAATATTTTATTTATATTGTAATTTACTCTTTGTAATTGCTATTGCATTATTCTTTTTGTAATAAATAATACGATAATCATGAGAAAAGGCGAATATTCTATCGTTCAAAAATTTCTTTAACTTAAACAGCCATGTCCTATTATTTCGGATATTAAATAATTTTTATTCTATTTAAATGTAAAGTTCAAATTTTAAATTAATTTTTGTAAATTAAAAACCCGTATATCGAGATATCTCTTCTGTATTCCTTTTATATCTGAAAACATGAAAATTCGAATATTTAAAGATTATTTAATTTTATTAAAAATTATTACTCACTTTGGAATATCGCCGATTTTCGGTGGCCGACATTTTCGCGGAGGAACGTTGCCCCATACGTTGCACGCTGCAAAATAATATTTTATTTGTTATTTATATAATTTATATTATATTTAATTTTTTACCTACACTTATTATTTTCTATCTTTCTAACTTTTATTTTTACTTGTAACATCGTAATAATAAAAAAATTACGATTTATTACTTCATCTCATAAAAATATTGAATATTGGATAAGAATTGCTTTATTATAAATCATCTATCACAAACTGTGTGAATAGTTTGAAAAAGGATATCGAAAACTTCGATATGATTTTAAATTTGCTTTGTGAAAACTGAAAACTGAAACTTCGATAATCGATCGATTTAATCTGAACAAGTTCCAAACTTGCGAATTAACGCGGACATCTTCGAACTTCGCACAAGTTCAAAGTTCCTGTCAAAGCTTCCAAGGTATGCGAAAGTTTGTCGTGGATCTTCTATAGATTCGAAATCTTGGACAACAGAAATTTTCAAACTGTTGGAACAGATTAAACTGTTGAAATTCAACTGGTCAAATTCCCAGAATTATGCTAACTCTAGAAATATCCTGTAAATTTAATCTTAACATATTTTCGAATTTAACGCTTCAGAAAGTCTTTCTTCTGGAATTTCTAACATTTCTTTATCTTAGTAATAAAATAAAATTGTTTATACATTAACATATAACATTCCCTAAGTATTTATGAACGCTGCTTATTAATTTTCATTTTTTACTTTTAAATTTCACGTTTCACATAAATAATTGCATTCTATCATATTTTTCCTATCGTGCAAAAATTAATAATCAAAGTGTTTCTCTTTAAATGGGGATAACAAACACGTCAAAAAAGAATAAAAAGTTAATTTAGAATAGAAAAATTATTAATATATAAAATTTTTGAATTTTTGAAAAATTAAAAGAATTGATATTATTTAATTTTAAATGGAAAATTATTATTAATTAATAATTAAATAATTAAAATTAAAGTTTCTTTATATAAAATCTAATTCATAACGTTATTTAAAATCACATGAAATCATTAGAAATTGCAAACATCTTTTCTTTTCTTCAGCATTATTACTCATCTACTCCATTTGTCCGCTTGGCTTCTATTCATTTCATCGATCGCCCACCTTCGAAGGCATTTACTAATTACAAGATTCGCTCTTTGAACACGTTTGCGATGCACTATGTCCTGCAATCGGGTCTTATTAAATCCAGAATGCGATTTTAATACGATTTAAACTCATTGATTCTTTGCTTCAATCCTTCCACCACGAATTAAACATCAGTATGGATGAATTTTCTTTCAACACGAATTAAATGTATTAGATTTATCTGTTTCTATTTTCACTTTTTCTTTCGTATTATAAATTTTTTTTCTTTAAATAAAAATCATATTGAATATAAAATATTTACATCTATGTTAATCTATCCAAAATATATCATATTGGCAAAAGAGTTTTCATCGTGTTTCTGGATTTTTTGCATTGAAATTTTCAAATGGAAATTTAACTTCGCTACAAGAAATTATATATTATAAAAAAATTAAAAATTATGTCATGTTGCATGTAAAATATAATGTACAACATATAAGCAGAATATACAGTGAGATATCTTTGGAGAATCAATTCTATGGACAAAGAAAAAATACAATAATTAGTATAAAAATATAATGATATAATGAATTATAATATTCTTGTCATTTATCTTTTATTATAATTTGCTTTATAACAGATAATCTTTTCTATATTTTTACCTAATTATAACATATAATACATGATACTCTTATTTATTGTTAAAAAACAATAAATGAATCTACATCATCATACTACTTACGTGATAATGTGATGAGTCATATTTTAGCGACATATATATGAAAAAAACATACAAGTATATCCTCGTGTATATATATATTTGTAATTTAAAAAATCGACAAAGTTATTAATAGAGCTTATCTGTCAATCATTTTATAACTAACTAGATTAATACGCGTGAAAAATTTCATTTCCTGTAAAAAATATTCATTTCCATAAAATCTACACTATCGTTATTACCCTCGAAACTATAAATAATCTTTCGATAATATCTTTGATACAATTAAACAATCAATCTTGGAAAGAAATAATTAACTTCTAAAATGATTCTTACCTATCACCTCATTTCCCTGGCTTTTGCTTCTGGATCCATTATGATTACGCCATGATTCGGGCCAGACAAGAAACTGTCTGGCTTTGATCGACGACCTTTCAATTAATTATCGCTCGGTGTGTGCAATAGCACGGGAACGAAGTTTATCGATGGAGAAACGGGGAAGAAATTACGAGAGAAGACGGTTGTGGATTTTCTTTTCTCGAATATCGATATCCGTCTAATCTATAATAAATTTAAGTTTTTCGCTTTCGCGAGAAATTTTATCGATAAGTTCTATCGAGGTTAGGTTGAAGTGGAAAGGGGAGAAAGGATCGTTAACCAAGATGTTTCTATTTGTTTTCAATCATAAGCTTGATTTCATTCGTGATTCGATTATTTCCGATAAATTGGGTCTAGGAGGGGATGTGGCGTCGTGTCACGCTTCGTTTAGTGATTTCGATTTTTAATAAGTAGTTGAGTGTAGTTGAGATTATGGCTGTTTTCGCAGAAACTTTTCTCTGCTCTAGATTAAAAATATGTATATTTTTTTTTTTTTTAACAATATTGATGATCGAATATAAAATATAATTATTTCCTATATTATTAATTGTAATTTTTTAATTGGAAATATTTTTTAAGAAAGATTGTGATAAAGAGAATAAATTTAATTAAATGTATATAAAAGCAAAGAAATAAAATTTCATTCCTTTGAAAGATTTTTTATTTTTCAAAACAAATTTAAAATTTATTTCTTTTTAGATTTTTAGAATAATAATAAAAAAATACTTAAAAAAAATATCCATGGAGTGTTAATTTAATTTAAACTTTTTAAGTAAATTCATACATTTAATTTTAAAATTTATTTATTTTAAAAATATGAAAGATTTGAATATATTAAATTTAATTTAAATTTAAATATGAAATTTAAATAAATTAACTTTCTTACAACATAACTTATGTAATTCCATCAAATTCAAGATATTTTGTATATGTATTATATTTTGTAATTTAACATACTTATTAAAATCTAGAGAAATATATAATAATTTTTGAGAATTAAAATTAAATATCTATCAATTATTAATTAAAAAGAAACATAAAGTATTAAAGTATGTTCAATCCTATCAATTTTTTCTAATAAAATAAAACTATGTTCTCTCCATAATAATTTCTATAGAAGATATAATATTTTATCAAAATATTTAATTTAACAGGGAATAAATTAAAAAAGAATATTTATGAAATGATAAAATTATATAGATATTTAAAAAAAATCTGTATAGAATTCGATACAATGCATCAGAGGATAATATATGAAGCAATATACACGAAGCAGTAGTGATAAATAAATCTCGATAATTCATAAGTGTCATATTAAATATGATGTATGATAACACGTGGATTCGTGTCAATTGGGTTCGCTCCAAAATCAGAGAACTTGTCGCAGTCCAATTTTCCCTTTATCCGTCTCAAAACTTTCCGAATTTATGATACACGATTGTTTTATATCGTGAAAGAAAGTAGGAAGCCAACCGGGTAAACTTTCAACGATAAATTCCATTCTAATGGAATTCGAAATAATCTCGAATTCTACACCGATTGGAGAAGTAATGGAAGCTTTGGAGGATATCAATTTTAAAACGTGAAAGGAATTTCTTTCGATTCTTTTGCATCTAATGAAACGATAATACGATTATACGACTTTATGTATTTTTATATCTTGCCTTTGTAACGTTGCTACTTTCTTCGAATCATTGTACCCAATTACGTTTGTGAGTTTGAAAATATTGTGAATATATTTCACATTCATCCTGCATATATTCTACACTCTACATTTTGTGTAATGTAATTACATAAATATACATAATAGTCCAGTAATAAGACATAGAATCATATCTTTTATTTATATTATTATTATTTATATTATATTTATTTATTATTATTATATTTATTTTTATATTTATTTATATATTATTATTATTATTTATATTATATAACATCATTGCTTTCGTTTTACATAATTGATTTTATGATTAGTTCTGTCGTTTATAAATTGTTTATTATTTTGAGTTGTGTGAAATAACGAGAGAAGACTATATATTTGAATGTGACTATATATTTGATGTGATTGATATGATTGATGATTGTAAATAATGGAATATTTGTAACAAGCAAATATATGTTTTATTTTTTATTTATTAAAATATATCATGCTGTTATTATTCTTATATCAATTAATATTCTTTACATCATAATAATTTATCAATTACAATAATATTAGAAAATTAATAAGTTACAAAGTATAGACCAAAAAAAAATTCACTTGTATTAGATATTTATTAATCAATATAGTCATCATCAATAATAGCCAATCATAATATTTTTCTTATTATTGTTTTAGAAATTATTTAGAATATTATTACATTATATTATCCTATATAACATTGAGACGATGCACAAGAATTTTCATAATAGAAATATGTCCATCATCTCTGCAATATAGTTACTTCGGTTATAACGTATACATCATAGAATATAACCGCTTAAGGGATTAAAGGTTAATTATATTTTTCATAATAACATTGTAGAACTAAATGAGATATAAAATGGATATTGTGCTTAACCGAGGCTATATAAACTTTAATCAATTCTTCCAAAATTAATTATGTCTTAGATTATTTTTAACACTCGAGAGAAAATTGAAATATTCGAAGTAAAGTTTGATAAAATGGAAATCGTAAAACTTATTTTATATTTTAATTACTTCTCTTGAAATTAATTACTTTCCTTTTTTCCCCCCCGTTTTTATCGTTTTTAATTATTTATGGTATCCGAAGGAAAATTAAAATAAAGTTAAAAATATGACAGCTGATGTATTAGGCACTTATTGTTCTCTTAATCATTATTTTTAC